GAAAAACGAACGCAAATTTTATTACAACGATCTGGAACCAGCAACTCCAGCAAAGAAACGCAAAAGCCACAGTACTGTTGAGACATTGCCAATTACTTGTCCCGCCTGTGCAGTGGTTTGTTCACAAGAGCGCGTTTACTGGAACCACTTCCCATCGAAAGATGCGTTATTCCTATGCCCGGAATGCATTCAGTCATACGTATGTTTTATTATTGACTGTACTAAAACAAAAAAAATTCGATGTATTTTTTAAAAAAATCAATTTTTTTAATCAAAATCTATATTTTTTTAAGTTCAGATCGAAAAATCCATTTTTTTTGCCGAAATCTATATTTTTAAGTTTTTTCATTTCAGTTTCTGAGGATTTTCCTATTTTTTTTCGCATTAACTTCTTTGGGCTTTTAGGACAAAATAAATCCACTTTTTTTTTAATCTATATTCTCCGTTTTTCCGTCCCAAATTTTTGAGAATTTCCCCTACTTTCGCATTAATTGCTTTGGATTTTTTAGGACATGTTTTATCCGATTAAAACAACACTGATTATTGCACCAGCTGCGGAAAAAAATCCATTTTTATTTTGGCTAAAATCCGTATTTTTTAATTCATATTCTTCGTTTTTTCTTTTCAAATTTTTAAGGATTTTTCTTACTTCCGCATTAACTATTTTGGATTTTTTAGGGCAAAATTTATCCGATTAAAACGACACTGATTATTGCGCCAGCCACGATTTGTCATCAGTGGTACGAAGAACTGAAAAGGCATATCAGTGCCGATGTGAAAATTGATGTCAGTATTTTCGTTTCTCGCAAATCCTCGGTTTTTTTATAAAAAAAAGAAAAAAAAACTGAAATGTAGATGTTTTGTGCTATCCTTGATATCATGTAAGGCAAACTTTAGCAAAATTAATGAGTTTTAAAAAAAATTCGTTTGTTCAAGGGCAGATTCGTAGTTTGGTTTTTTTCGCGGTATTTTGCGTACAGAGTGATCTTTGGTCTTTATAAGAAAGTAAGTGAATGATAATAGGGCATAAAAAGGAAACACAGGCACTTTGAAAGTTTCGCTTTTTTTTACCGCACATATTGCTTTGACTTTTTTACTTTCCTGGTTCTTTCTGCCACGGACTGCAGCACACCTACGCATTTTCCATAGACTCACCCAGAAGGTGAGGGTGAGGGAGGGAGCGATGGGACAAAGCGTCTTTGGCCCTCCCCCGTCCCCCCGCCCCCCAGCCCCCCGCCCTCAGCGAAACAGGCACCACTGCTGAAAAAAGTCCGGTTTTAAAGATAAAACTGAAGAAAACTCTCTTCCGCACCCCTCGTCGGGCCTCTCCCAGAAGCCGCGCCCCTCCTCCCTCCTTCCCTTCCCCGTTTCCCAACCTCCCTCTCCGGTCGTTGTCGCAAGGAGCCTCTTCCAGGAAACCGCCCTGGATCTGCCTATAGGCGTCTTCAGACCTGTATCTAGTAGATTTTGGTGACCCTCCTACGGAACGCTTGCTTATTATTCCTACGGATACTGTTTAACAATTACTTCGTTGTGTTTATCATTTTTCGTCCTTCTAAGTAATCGGCTTACAGACATAAGAATAAGATGGTATACTAGTCAAGGTAAGTCCAGCGCAGTGTTTCATCAGAGCAAAACTGGTTGGGGCAGTGGTTTTTGTGGAAAAATCAAGAGATAATTATAGTTTGTAATGCAAAAAAAAGGAAATTTGACTTAGCTGCTACGGTCCATAGAATTTTCAACTAAAGAAAGCTATGGAAACGCAGTGGGATGTTTTGAACTGAGTCTAGAAGCACTATATTTTCAAACATTTAATTTCAAATTTTCAAACATCCAAACATTTAATAAGAAAAAGAGGAAAAAAATGGATTTGGGCAATTTGATGCTTCCCTTTTTAGGCTTGAACATATGCTTGATAAAATACATTTCAGATGTATCGAGGAGTCTTATATGATGGCTACAAACATCCCGAATATCTGGCCACACAGGATATTGTTGTCTGTTCATTTGAGACACTTCGAAGTGAAATCAATTTCATGGGAGCTCGGCCAAGACGTGGTTAGCACCTGCTCATGCATGCCTATTTCAGTAATTTGCTTCGAGATTTATTTAATCGAATGTAAAATAAGCGTTTCGATGCCCTATACTTCTCAACCTTACTGGCTAGGTCTTACTTCGCAAAAGTTTTCGTTTGTAGGAGCTCTTCATTAGTCAGCTTACAAGTGTTTTGTATTTTCATATTGGACGGTTGCACCGTAACTGACAGGCATGGCGCAGTGGAATAGTACTGTTGTTGTGCAGTAGGTCGCAGGTTCGATTCCGCGGCTGGGACAACCACTCCCTTTGCGATTTGATCATTCATTTCGATGGTAAAATTGGTACTGGCATATATTAGGAAGTCAAACTCGCCATCAACTTCGCTTTAAGCAACCGTCGAAAGACGGAGCCATCGACACCCTCGCCAACGTGTGGTTGCTATTGGCATTTGCTACCAATTAGGCTACTTCCCGAGTGATTTCGTCTCTCAATGAGAGCGGGTTAAGGGAGGGGGGGGGGAGAGGGGGAGGTGACTGAGACTGTCCCGTGACTTTTGTCATCGCGCAGCATAAATTTCCGGAAGAATCAGGAAGTTTTGAATTCTCGGGGTTATGAGTTTTCAAAAGTTCACCGTTCTATATGTTGTTTTATACTCTGCGGAACTTATTCATATAGGACTGAAAGCCAGATTTTGTCATGTTCAGTCGCAGTAATTAGTTCTTCATAATTTATTAAACTGGAACTCTGTTTGATCGTTTTTTGTTTGGGGAGGGGAGGGGGGCAAGGGAGGCGGGGAAAGGAGGGACGGGGGTTGTTTTATGAGGATAACACGGTAATCTCCTCACTTCCCCCATTCTTCTTCGCTTATACTATTAAAAATGATAATAGCATTACTATTATTATTATTAATACTTATATTGATATAGTTCATGTACCATGTACTGTATTTTTTTACACCATATTTTTTGTGTTTTCCTTCAGATTCACTGCGTCAACAGAAGCGATTTCGTTTGGCGCCAACTCCACTCGTTGCCGTCGAATGGTGGCGGGTGGGTTCACTGTTTCTGTATTTCATTAACAAAGTTTATTCTCACTGTTGATGTCAACAAGCGGAATCACCAGTCAAATTTTTTATAAATAGCTAGTCAAGAATTCACGCAAAAAGCTAAATTTTCCTGTGCTTTTGGCAAAGAAATTTTTGCACGGATTTTTTGTTTATGCTTCGGAAAATGATCTTTTTATAGTGAACAGCATACCCCCAGATTACTTGCGCTGTTATTTGTTGATGCATATGTGATTAAATTGAAGGGGTAAAAGCGAAAGATTGCATCGACGGTGCGCAATTTTTGCTTGACTTTTGCTAAGAAACAAACTGAGAAACAAGAGCCAAGAGCTCAAAATTGTGACCAACACCTAACATCCTTCTGAGTGCTTTTTGATTGAAATTTACATTGTTCACTGAAGTCCAGCGTGGAATTTGTGGTGCACTGTGGTAGTCCATTCCCCCTTACCTTTGTTATGAAAAACCCATGAAAAGTTGGCTAAGAAGCCGCCACAAAGAAAAAGGAATAAAAGAAAGAGGCCTCGTACCTTGAAAAGCAGATGCACAGTAGACGTGCTGCCAGGCTGAATGTGGAGCTCAAGGGCTGGTGGTGTAGTGGTAACATATTGCATCCAGACGTAAACGGGATTGGTTCGATTCCGTCCCGGTCCAGAGCAGTTTTCGCGAAAGGGCTCCGCTCACTACCTTTTTATCCGTCTTGCACAGCATACCCTTTGGTATCTGTGATGAGTCGCCGGTTTCTTTTAGATTTGCGTTGATGAGGCACAAATGGTGGAAAGTACATCAAGTGTAGTGGCAACAATGTGCGAAGAGTTACATGCTGTAAACCGATGGTGCATCACAGGC